TATGGAGGGATGGACACTGGGAAGAGGTAACTATGGGGAGGAAGTGGGAGGGGAGCTGTTGCATTGTACATTTTGGTCAATGACATGAGACAAAGTATATTATGTGAACTGCTGTATGAAAAGTGAATTTTTACTCTGTAAATCTTCACTCAAATCAAAATAAAATTAAAAAAAAAAACCCAAGTGTTATTTTGAATATATCCACAAGGATAGCGTAGTATGCTATACTGAATGTAAAACCACTGTTTAAAAAAGCCTCTATCACTGGCTAAGAACCCAGACCATACACACTGAGAAGTCCAACAAGAAACCAAGTCTGTTTTTTTTCCTTGTACATAAAATCAATTGGATAAAACAATCAGAGAATGCTAATTTAGGAAGTCAAAGAGAAACAAATGCTATGTATTAATAATATATATTACAATCCATGCAAAGTAGCTGTGGGTAAGGTATATTTCCAGAATTTGGCAATAAGGTTTAAAAAGAAATGTTGTTGATGAGACACTGAAATCTGTTTAACAAATGTGTGGAGGGCCTACTCTGGGCTATGCTAGGGTAACTAAACCAAACCAAATTAACTGTCATCCAAGTCAACTCCAACTCACAGTGACCCCCACTGGGTTTCTAAGGCTGTAAATCTTTACAGAAGCATACTACCTCATCTTTCTTCCATGGAGCAGCCAGTGGGTTCAAACCGCTGACGTTTTGGTTAGCAGCCAAATGCCTTAATCACTGCACCACCAGAGCTCCTTGTACTAGGGTAAGATATACAATAATCTAATGAAGATCTATGTCTGAAGGATGGAAGGCAACAGAGCATTCAAAATAGGAAAATCATCAAAATCAAGAATTACATCTCAGTACTACCCAAGCAGGGGATACCTTGAATCTAATGACTAATCTGGGCTATAAAGAGAGAAACGTACCTAAACAAAACAGGAGGCACTACCTTCGCACAATCACTACTTGATAATCTAACTCCTTTAGTTTATTCTAGATCATTTACTGAGCATCTGACATGAGCTCAATACTGTAGGCACAAAGTTGGATAAAGTGGATTCCTTCTCCATTCTTAAGGAGTTTTTAATCTTGTGAAAAGCTACATATAAATAACTACTCTGATTCTTTTTCATCTGTAACAGAGTAGCAACAAATGACCAGGTTTTCTTGGAGAACATATCTCCCACTGTAGGCTGATGTTATCGACTACTTTTAAAAAGTAGATAGTATAAAATCAATTCTTTAGACTCTAGTCGCCCCTTGAGAAATTGGTACAGCTGAATTTCTACAACAGCAGCAAAGGTAAGACCAGATACTGTAGCCAAGTTAACTCAAAAAGTAAGAGACAAAGCCTGTCTCCTGACAGTCATCCTCCAGAGCAGCATTCAGACCTAAACCAGAATGAAAGGCTACACTTACTTTTTGGCAAGTGCTCTTCTTTCTTCAGGAGTGTAATCTAGAGACCCTATGGCTCCTTCTCCTTTTGTTGGCATAAACCCAATGATGGCTAATAATGCTGTTCTTACTGAAATAAAAAATAAACATCAATCAAAGTTGCTTTGTAAAAGGAACTGGGTTCACTGTGAAAAGAGGAAAAAAAGGCTTTCAACACAAAAAGTATAGGCAGTGGGGCTGTCTTAGGCACAATCTCGACATGGAAAAGCATTTTCATTATTTACTCAGTAGTATAAAATTATTTATCCAAACCAGCTGTAATCTCACAAAGAAAACATACTTCATAATTATGAATTGCCAAAAGTTATATAAAGTGTATATTCACTATACATTAATACTCACTACTCCATGAAGGCTGCCAAGTTTCAGGATGATGTCCTGAGATGCTCAAACAGATCTTCTTGCCCACTTCAAATCGTCCATTAGCCTTAGGAATAAATAATACACTTAAAAAAAAAAATCATACATTTGTGTTTAAAGTTCACACATGCTAAAGTAACTTTAAAATAATGTAAGCTCCAAGGGTGTACAGTCTATAAGTATCCTCTTACAGACACTCCACAAATAAATACTGGATGCTGAATAATAAAAGCTGTTTTTGCAAGTTGTTGTAGAACCTTTTTGAAACTGAGCTACATATTTGAAATCTGAATAATTAACATATAAATATTTATTGATGTTCTAACTCTGTGCCTGTTACAATGTTAGGCTCTGTAAAGGACCTAAAAAGAAGAACCTTAAGGCAAGAGGTTAAGATAAAATCTAAGGACTTAGTATCACCTAATGAGATGCTGGTGAGGAATGGCATGGAGAAAAAGGTCGTGAGCTTTGAGACAAGAGTGATTTTAAGTGCAGGGGACATCAAGCTCAATTGGCATAACATACTACACAAGAACACTGGTCAATATCCTACTTTGGTGAGTAGTGACTGGGCTTTAAAAGCTTGCAAGTGGCCATCTAGATACAATGATGGGTCACTCCTCATATAGAGCAAAGAAGAATGAAGAAAACCAAAGATGCATGGAAACAATTAGTCCAAGAGACTGGTAGACCATGCAATCCTCAGCCTATATAACTATGAGACCCGAAGAACTAGATGGTGCCCCATTACTCTTGTCAACTACCTGGAGGGGGATCAGTGCAGATTATCCCAGATAGAGTGGGAGAACAACGCGGAACAAAACTCAAAATCATTTAAAAAAAAAAAAAAAAGAAAGACCAGGTTTGCAGACCCCTGAGACTGGAGCCCCTTGTTACACTTCAGGTCTGAAACTGAACTCACTCCTGTGGCTTTCAGTCCAACAACAGACAGGCAATAGGGTGAACATTTACATCATGGAGATACACTCCTTAGAGTGATCAACTGTGGGAGAACAGAAGGGCAGTGTTTGCACAGGGAGACAGGTGAGGGTGGGGGGAAGGGCAGGAATGCATAGGAAGGAAGGATACAGAAAAGAGATAACTACAGGAAGGAAGTGGGAAGAGAGCTGTTACATTATGGGGAATTGCAATCCATGTCATGAAACAAAATGTGTATGAACTATTGTACGGAAAATGAATTTGCTCTGTAAACT